ACACCAAGAAAGAAAAGTTTGTAGTTAGTTCAAGGATCGCTGGCCTTTAGGAGTGTTTTCCAGTCCAGTCTGTTGGGGCACCACGCCCTGGCCCCAAAGTCCATGTACATACCAGGGGGGCTCAAAAAATTCATGGAAAAATGGAATAAAGAGATCATGGAATTTAATGGTGGTGCAGTGGTTATGATTTGGGTTGTGATCCAAAAGGCCCACAGTTCAAAACCACTATCCGCTCCACAGGAGAAAGAGGAGGCTCATTATGCCTCCAAGCAGTTGGTCGTATGAGTCAGCATCAATTCAATGGCAGTGAGTGAGGGTATTTCTTACATCTACTCAGAATTTTTTCTTCTGACATACTTTTCAATTCAAAATCATGAAGTTTGATGTTTGCCACACCTAAGTGTCTTCTATCCCAGGGTATGGCAAACATTTTCTGAGAAGGGATGATGTAGGCTTCGGGGGTCATTTGGCCTCTGTTGCAACTGCTTAGACCTGCCATCTCAGTGCAATGCTTCAATAAACACATATGGGCATGACCCCATAAAACTTTATTTTTGAACACAGAAATTTGAATTTCCCAGTAGCTGTTACAAAGTCAGATCAACCCCTACTCCATGCCATTAGGAGCATGTATAATTGTGTTAGGTCAGGTTAGGTAGAGAAACCAATCCAGGGACACTCAGCTGTGTATAAGGAAGAGCTTTATATCAAGAAGCATTTATGCATCAAGAAGGCATCGCAGCCCAGTCCAACTCAAGCCCATACGTCTGTTGCTAGTCCACTAGATCCTCTTCAGATCCACATAGCAGCAGGCCAGTGATGCAGAGAGGTGAACCAGGAAACAGGAAGCTCACAGGCCAGTGGGTGCAGGGTCACGTGGCTCCAAGGTCAGTTGGAACATGCAGGGTGCTGGCAGCTCTCAGGACTGGGCAGCTCACATGTGGCCACCTCTCAAGGGGTGCAGAGTCCCAGCAGGCAAGAAGGCAGAGGGCAGAGAGAGAAGGGCACTCCAGTTTTTCTCACTCTTATAAGAAGGCCACTTTCCCAAGCAGGCATCATCAAGCTTCCCCATGATTGACAGGCTGAACTCTGCCCCTAGCCAGGAGTGTCTAGTTGACATAGTATCTGTCTACCACTATAATGCAGCATATCATTTAATATAATAGAAATAGAGAGCTTCTAGCCTCCAGGATTGTCAGTGGGCCATTCATGTCTAGTCTGGTCATTTGGATGCTGGAGAATATTAGTGAGGATAGAGTGCAGTATCTAGTAACTCCCAAATCTTATCCACTCAAGGTCGTGTGACGGTCTGGGCTACTTTCTAGGTCAGCTGCCCATCCTGAAGTGTTTCAGCTTCATTTTTCCATATTAGCACCTGCCCCCTCCATATTGACAGGCGACAAAAAATGTGGAAAATCACACAGGAGCTCTTAAAGGCTTTCCCCTAGAAGTAACCTGTATCCATGGAAATGCCAACCACATGGCATGGTGGCTTTAGAATTCCAGCGAATGCTTTGACCTCACTGCCTCCACAAAATGAAATTAATTCCTTGTCCCTTGAACATTGGTCAGTGACAGTATCTTACTTGCAATAGGGTGTAACGTGGTGGAGGTCATGTTTTGGGATTAGAGAGGTGTGATGGTTAACGTTACCTGTCATCTAGGAGCCCTGGTGGTGTAGTGGTTACGTTGGTCTGCGATCCGCATGGTCAGCAGTTTGAAACCCCTCGCGGCTTTCCCATAAAGGGTTAGAGGCTCGGAAGCCCCCCTGGGGGTTGCTATGAGTCAGCGTTGACTCGAAAGCAGTGTGTGCTGCCTTGGAGTCCACTGGCCTAGGCCATGATTCTCTGCCAAGTGGCTTGGCAGACAGGACGGAATCATCCTCCCTTTGTGAGCCGAGGTGAGCAGCCAGTCGTTTGGAAAGGAAGTGCCCTGGCTTTGGGCAAGTCTGTTGCAAAAGACCTCATGAAAGTGTTAACGAGTAAGGACGTCCTTTGGAGGACTAAGGTGCACCTGACCCTCATGTGCATGTAAAAGTTGGGCACTGAAAAGAGCAGACCCAAGAAGAATTGACGCATTTGAATGATAGTGCTGGCAAGGAACACTGAAAACTCCCAGTATTTCCAGAGGAAGTGCAGCCAGCACGCTCCTTAGCAGTGTGGATGCTGTGTTGTTGCATAGAGGGTTGCCACGCATCAGAGCCGACCGGACAGCCCCTAGCAACAGATAATGAACGTGAGCTGTTGCACTGCTGACTGTCTCATGAAAACCGAATTCATTCATTCATTTGAAAGTATTTGGAATTGAACGAATGTGAGTACTCAGCATGGTCTCGGGGATTCCGCCACTCTATCAGATCAGTAAGCCTAGTCACTTTCGTGATTTTGAGTTTTGTCCCAGCTTGTCCCCACTCTATCCAGGACCTTCTAATGTGATCCCTTTCAGAGCTGTCGTGGCTGGGTACCATCTAGTTCTTCTGCTTTCAGGGTCGTAGAGACTTATGTCCATGTGGTTTATTAGTCCATTGTACTCATTGCTTCCACATGTCTCCAATCTTCATCACTTTTTTCCCTCTACACAGACAGAGACCTTATATAACTATTCATGGGCTTGTAAGACTCCATTCAATAGTCACAGAAGTAGAAAGTGGAACATTGTGTTTGTGGGCCATGTTATGCTAATGAATCTTAGGGCACCTGGAAACCATGGTTCTGAGCCTTCAGGCCCAGTGATCACTTCCCTAAAAGTGTTTGGCTATGTCTAAAATATTTCATTTAAAAGTTGGTTGGTTTTTTTGAACTAGCTATTTTTTTCAGCTAGCCATTAATAATGAGGTTGAACGACCATGTAAAGTTGAAATTCTGAACTAGGTAAATATGGCCTTCTTCTTTCTCTAGACCAGTTTGGCTCTGCTGGAAGATTGAAGTAAAAGACAGAGATGGGAAGAATCCTTTTGTGCTCTAAGTCTTCCAAAGAGTGGATTTGATCATAGAAAGACTGTGAAATAACCATGAAAAGACAGGCTTTGGGGAAAATATCAAAGCATCCCCTTGAGTCTTACCTCTTGATGGCCTATGGTCTGGCAATGACAAGATAAGCTATGGAAGGGCCCCCCATGACTTATTTGGGGTCTTAGGACATATACGTTGTATTCTTAAACTAGAACAATGATCAGAGTTCTTATAGTGTTCTCTTTAACATGCCACATTGGTCTTTATGAAAGACTTTTTAAAATGTTGAGTCTACGGACTCATTTCACTGAAAAGAGTACACAGCTCCTGATTAGCAAAAGTCCTATGATACATTCGGACTAAACTTTGCACATGCATTGAAAGCATTCCGTTTTCAATGCTTTCTACCAAGAAGATTGAAAACAGTTGTTGTCGTTGTCGTCGTTGTTAGGTGCCATTGAGTTGATTGATACTCTCGGGGATCCCTTGGGCAACAGAATGAAATAATGTCCAGTGCTGGGCCCGCCTCACAATTCTGGTGAGGTGGGAGCCCACGATTGTAGCCACTGTGTCCATCATCCATCTTGTTGAAGACCTTCCTCTGTCTCGCTGCCCCTCCACTTTACCAAGCATGATGTCATTCTCCAGAGACCGGTCTCTCCTGAGACCATGTCCAAAGTCTGTGAGAGGGAGTCTCACCGCCATCTTTGCTTCTTAAGAGCAGTCTGGCCTGACTCAGGAATGGGTGTTTCATGGAAATCAGTATCGCACGTGGACTCGGTGACATCATTTCTTTCATGCCGCTGCCTCAGACTTGCTCAGATTGAAGTAGTAAGACAGTTCCCGTGTTTAAATTGGTTCAGTCCTCTCCTCAATGAGGGTATTCACTTCGGAAACTGTTTCCATAAGACAAATAGAGTTCTTGGGGATCCTCAACAGATAACTCTGTGTTTGCATATCATGCTGAAAGGCAGAGTATACTTTTATGATGATTACCTTGATGTAGACATAAGCAAAAGTGTTTCTGTGTAACTTCCAGAAAGTGTCTTTAGAAGCAGGGTATAGACCCTTCCTTTCTCTCCTCCCCATTCCCATTGGCTGGGGTGTGGATGTGATGGCTGGTGCACTGACAGCCATTTGGGATCATGAGGTAGAGCACTAGTTAGGGCACAGCAGATGAGAATGATCCTGTCAACTACCGAGTGCTCTCACAGGCCTGGATGGTTTGCTTCTAGTTTTCTTTCATTGAGAAAATAACAATAGTCTCTATCTTTGAAAGCCTCTGTTATTTTTGTCTTTTTTTGTTGTTGTCATTATCTGAAGCCAAACTTAACCCTGATTGATAAACTGAACAACTCACTGGCCATCAAGTGCATTCTGACTGCTAACCACAAGGTCAGCAGTTCAAAACCACCAGCCCCTCCAGGCGAAAGTCGAGGCAGTCTACTGCCTTAAACAGTTACAATCTCAGAAACTCACAGGGGCAGTGCTACCCTGTCCCATCAGGTTCCTATGAGTAACCTGAATTTATAGAAAGGTACAAACACATTCTCAAAAGCTACCTAACTTGCCACGCCTTACTCAAGCCAACCACACTGGACTTATGATCCACACAAAATCAAATCAGGTTGAGGACAGGCAAGTCGTGGCTCCTACCTGATGTGTCCACTCGGACTAGAGTTATGGACTCGCAGCGGACTAGAGTTATGGACTCGCAGCGCTGGTGTATCTGTTTCAATGGGCGCTCTGCTGTTGACCATGTGATCACAGCACAGCCAATGGCAGAGCCTGCTCTGCAGCTCTCGGTTCTGGAGCCCATAGATCAGGGGGTTAAAGCACTGGGCCAGTGCAAAGAGGGCAAACAGCACCATATTTAAAGCAAAGGAAAAGGTCCCGCATGCCTTCCCCAAGCCTATGATCACCAGGGTTGGTACAACATGTAGGACCATCTGCACTAAGTGAATAAGAACAGTTTTCCTGGCTTTGACATTCGACCTATTAAAATGCCCGGCCCGTTTCCCTTCTTGGTAGATCAGAGAGTAGCTGATAAAGATGACAGACAGGGGAAGGCAAAAGAAAACCATGCCAATGACTCTGGACACTGTGCCATTCAAGGTCAGAGGGCAAACGGGCTCTGATTTCAGAATGGCCACTGGAGAACTTCTCATGCCGTCTATGAGAAATAAGCTAACATTCTTGAGGATGATGATGGTCCACATCCCAGCTAGAATCCTGTACTTAACCGAATCCACCAGGACCAGAGATCTCAAAGGCCAGCAAATCGCCAGGTAGGTGTTGAGAGTCATCAAGGCCAAGGTGAAGAGAATCCCTTCCCCAGCACTTAGCTGGATGCCGAACACCACCCAGCAGATCAGCAGAGGGCTGTTGGCCTGCAGTGCCCGCATCCCCTGGAAAACAATGCCCAGGCCGCAGTAGGAGGAGATGCACAGGAGATGGTGGCATAAGAGAATATACCGGATCTCCGTCTGCAGTTTCAGATCGTGCAACACGATGGCCATGATGATGGCCGTGGTGGACGTGGCAAAGGAGAAAGCCACCACGAACACAGAGGCTTTCACCGTTGCTTCTAGCCTCAGCCAGTCGGAGATGTTGCAGGGCTCTGACGAGGTGTTCATCCTCTTCAGTTATCCTGGCTCCTGGGGGAGAAAACAACAAGAGTGAGGCCGTGCTCTGGCTGCTGATGTGTTTTGCCAGCTCTCTCGGCACGGGACTTCAAAACCGAGCCCCTGGAACAGTCTCTGTGTTTCCATATGATGGTTGACACTGGCCAGTGGAATTGATGTGGATAAAAGACCTGGAGATACTACCTAAGGTCTTCTCTTTGACTGGGGGGTGGGGTGAACAGAGAACTCCCCCTCCCCCCAATCATCTACTAGGAAGATCTGGGAGATGGTATTCTGGGTCCTCAGCAAAGAGCTCAAAACCAGGTCAAGGGCTTTTCTGCTTCTGTGTCCTTTCCCATCTCTGGCTGTGGCAACCTCTTGCAATCCAGAGTGCAAAACACGGCATCTGGAGAGTCAATGGATTGACCACTGGGCACTGTTGGCACTTGGTATTCTCTAAGGTCTAGGAAGGAAGTTAGGGCAAGAGCCAAGAGGAAGGTCAAGAATTAGGAAGCGTAGATGTCCTTGACTCAGAGAGCTGAGCCCTTGGTGCCAAAGAGCTTAAAGGGTGATCGACAGTCATGCTGGGGTCCTTTGGGGCCCGAAGACATCAGGCTGAATGAAATAAATGGCAAAACAGCAAATATGGTACTGTTCTATGGTCTCGTTTACGCAAAATAGGCACATACATTGAGATCAAAGCTCGTGATTGGTAACTGGGGGAGAAGGGGAGCCCTGGTGGCACAGCAGTTAAAGTGCTCAGCTGCTAAACCGAACCGTGGGAGGCTTGAATCCACCACCCACTTCACAGGAGGCACACGTGGCAATCCACTGCCACAGCCTTGCAACAGAGGTAAACATTGTTATATGCATTGTTATGTGCAATAAGGCCAATGCATGGATGGACACACAGGGGGTGGGGGCGGGTGGGACTCTACTCACAAATACATACAGATTTGATGGAGGGTACACGGGTATTTACCTCAGCATACGTGGGGCAAAGTTACAAAAAGTTCTTAGGCATAAGCAAACACCTTAAGGGTCTGGGTCGCTGGGCCTGGAGGCTCAGGACCATGGTCTCAAGCGACAGCCAGGTCAGTTGACATACCAGTCCACAAAGACAATGTTCTCCACTCACCCTACACTGGTGAGTAGTGACTGGGATCTTACAAGCTCGTGAGCAGCCATCAAGGAGGAAAGAAGAGTGATGAGATTCTAAGACACATGGAAACACTCAGTCCAGTGGATCACATAACCAGTATCTGAGACCAGAAGAGCATCGCTGGTGTCCAGCTACCACTACTGACTGCTCTGAAAGGAGCACATCAAAAGAAGGTCCTGGGGAGAGTGGAAGAAAATGTGAAATAAAACTCAAAATCAGAAAAAAGGACCGGGCTTACTGGTCAGATGGAAACTGGCAGAACCCCTGAGATGATAGCCCATCGGCACCCTCAGGTGTGGAATTGAACTCCCCTCCTGGCTCAATTTTCAAACAATAGACAGGTCCATAATGGGAATAATAACACTAGTGAGATACTCCAGCTAGAATCATTCATCATTTGAGATCAAAAGGCCAGTATTTACCCAAGGATAGTATATTCACACACATATTTATCCATCCTTGGAAACCTCATGGGTCCGGTCTACCGTCCTATAGGGTCACTGGGACTTAACGGCAGTGGGTGTGGGCTTTGGCTGGGCTGGGAGGAGTGAGGAAAACAAGAATCTGACCTCCAGAGGCTCTGAGTTTCCATGAATGGTGGTGGAATCATTTGGCAATGGATAGTGGTGATAGCTGGACAACAGGATGACCATAATCGATGTCACTGGCTTGCACACGTGAAGAGTGTGGACTTGAAGGCATCCTGGCAGTGTAATGGTTAGGCGTTTGGCTGCTAACCTCCAGGTTGCTGGTTTGAAGCCACCCACGAACTCTGGGGGAGACAGACCTAGCAATCTGCTCCCGTAAAGACCACAGCCGGGAAAGCCCAGGATTAGTTCTACTCTCTGACACAAGGTCACGGTGCAGTGAGATCAACTTGATGGCATCCAATGACCAAGTGCAAGCCCAATGTTGGGTCAAGAAATGTTTCATGATACATGCCTTTATTTAATTATACGTTTAATAAGTTATTTTATTGGGGGCTCTTACAGCTCTTATAACAATCCATACATCAATTGTATCAAGCACATTTGTACATATATTGTCATCATCATTTTCAAAACATTTTCCTTCTACTTGAGCCCTTGGTATCAGCTCCTCTTTCTCCCCTCCCTCACCCACTCTCACACCCTCATGAATCCTTGATAAATTATAAATCATTATTATTTTCATATCTTACTCTGTCTGCTGTCTCCCTTCACCCACATTTCTGTTGTTCATCACCCTCGGGTGTGTGTGTGTGTGTAGGATTGTTATATGTCAATCATTGTCATCAGTTCCCCCCTTTCTCCCCGTTCTATCCCCACCCTCATGGTATCGCCATTCCCATTATTGTTCCTGAGAGGTTTGTCTGTCCTGGATTCCATGTGTCAAGAGCTCTTATCAGTACCAGTGTACATGCTCAGGTCTCACTGGGTTTGTAAGGTAGAACTGGGATTATGAGAGTGGGAGAGGGGGAAGCATTCAAGAACTAGAGGAATGTTGTGTGGTTTCATTAGTGCTATACTGCACCCTGACTGGCTTGTCCCTTCCTTGTGACCCTTTTGTGAGGGGGTGTCCCATTGTATACAAATGGCCTTTGGGTCTCCGCTAAGACCCCCCTCGTTCACATTCATATGATCATTGTTTTGGGTCTTCTGATGCCTGATACCTGATCCCATCACACCTCGTGCTCACCCAGGCTGGTGTGCTTCTTCTATGTGGGCTTCATTGCTTCCCTGGTAGATGGCCGCTTGTTTAATGTCTTCTAGTAGAACAATTAAAATTAAAACGAATCTAAAGAATGATCTGATCCAAGGTCCACAGAAAATGTAGTGTGAGTATTGCATCAGGTAATTTAACTGTCAGTTCACACTGAGAAATGGGCGAGTGGAAGAAAGGGTGGAGGGGGGAGGGTAGGAGAGAGAAGCAGAGGGCAGCTGGGATGAAAGAGACCACGAGGTCTCTACCAAACCTTAGAAGTTCTTCCCAGACAAAGCGACCAGCCTGTCTTGGCTCCGGGCCACCTGTTCCACTAGGTGCTTAAAATATCACAAACCCTTGTATCAGGCGAGCTAGCTTGAATGGGTTTTGATTCCTTTGTGATGTCCCATAGACCCCTCTGTATATGAAATGAACCCTGAAAATCCACCAGAAATTATGCTGATTTTCTAAAGGGCACAGAGATATGACAGTGGAGATAACAGCAGTATCGCAACTTTGTGAGAATCTCAAGTGCCCTCATTGCTGTGAAATCCCTCACTGGGGTTCTAATTTATTTTTTATATGATTCTGGGTATTGTTCCCCTTGGTGGAGACTCTTCCTCTTGATGGATTTTTCTGGCCATTGTCTTGCCTTTGAAATCCAAACCCTCAGCCATTGAGCCAATCCTCATAGCAAGCCTATAAGGGTAGAGTTGAACTGCCTTGTGGGGATTTCCAAGGACATAAATCTTTAGAGTACAGACAGCTTTGTCTTTCTCCTGAGGAATGACTGATGAGTTTGAACCACAAAACTTTCTGCTCGCAATCTGGTGCTTCACCCACCACACTACCAGGACTTCTTTTGTGAACTCCATGCACTTGTTTTGATTATGTTTTGTTTCTCTACTATCTGGCTTCCTAAAGAGGAATGGAAATTGCCTTGTGGACAATATCAATATCCGGCTTTGTTTTAGCTACAGACTTTACAACCGAATTCTTACCCAGGAATACCTCAATATTAAACAGAAGAAAGCATGTCACGTACGTGAAACACCTCTTCTTCCCATCATCCCCTTCCCTGAGCAATACATGTGACAACGGCAGGCCTGGCCCAAGCCATGAGGTTCTTTTTAATCACCTTGGATGCGGTGGGAGCTGGACAGTGAAAAGGGGAGACAGCAGGATGGATGCATTCAAACGGGGATGTGGTGGAAGAAAGGGGAGGTACTGTCGATTGGCAGAAAACCAAATTCGTCTAGATGCAAACACCTCCAGAATACTCCGTGGGATGGTGAAGATGGTAAGAGTTAGGCCCGCTTTGTTCGAGCTGTTTGCTTGTGTTTTTCAAGCTTGATCACTTGAGACATGCCATCAGGGAAGACCGATTGCAAAGAAAACGACATCCTGGCTGGTAAAGTAGAGAGCCCGGGAGAGCAAGAGAACTCCTCACTGTGATGAATTGGTATGAGCCTCAGCAATGGGTTCAAATAAAGCTATGATCTCGAGGATGGCACAAGACTGGGGGATGTTTCATTCCATTGTGCCTAAGGTCACCCTGAGTTGGCACCAACTTGATGGATGCTAATAATAATGACAGCCTTAGTGTTATCATGAGTGACCAGCTCCTGGAGCAGAACCTCGTGCTCGTGAAAGTCGAGGGTCAGTGAAAAAGAGAACGGCCCTCAAGGAGATGGATGTCACAATGGTTGCATCGATGGATTCAAGCATAGCAGCAATGCTAGGATGGATTGACCCCAGGCTCAACAATGGGCTCAGAGATCACTGAGATCATGAGGTGGGCCCAGGACCAGCTCATGTTTTGTTCTGTGGTGCAGAGCATTTCTGAGTCAGAACTGAATCAATGTCATCTACAACAATAGTATTCCTGAGAAATGAGCACGCCTACCAGCCCATTACTTTCTTATCTTATTCCCCGTGCCTTTGTCTTGCGCCCCTGATCTGCATAGAACCCCCCAGCTCTCTAGAACAGGATCTACTTTGTCCTACCACAGCCCTTCCCCAGACCCGAATGAAATTCAGCCTCTAAGACCCAGAGTCCCACCACTAGGACTCACAATCCTACACATTTCTAGGCTCCCTATGGCCAGGTGTCCCCACGCTGTGGTTGTAGCCCCAGTTCTGAGGCTCTTGTTCCCCGTGCCCCATT